TAGTAAACCATATGATTGTCTGATTCAAAATGGCAAATCCACTCCATTTCAGTTCATTAATGCTTAGGATATCGATCTTTATGAGTTCCTTTCCACTTTTGACAACTTTCAATTTTCCTAGATTTATATACAAACAAATGGGAATCAAACACAATGTGCTATTAAACTACCAGTGGGTCAAGGAAGAAATCACAAGTTTCTCAGAGTCAAAGGAAAATCTGACAACAAACCAAAACGTATGGGATGCAGTGAAGACAGACTTAGAGGGAAACTTCTAGCAATAATGCCTACATGAAAACAAGTAAAGTGGCCTCAAATTGACAGCGTTGGAGAAGAATACTGAAAGTACCATGGACTGCCAGAAAAACAAACAGGTCTGTGTTGGAAGCTCCTTCTGGACAGCCGGAATGCTCCTTGGAGGCAAGGATGGCCAAATTTTGCCTCTCATACTTCAGACCTATTATCCGGAGGGATCATTCCTTAAAGAAAGACATTAATTACCCTTGGTAAAGTGGAGGGTCAGAGAAAAAGAGGAAGACTTTCAAGGAGGAGGATTGACACCATGGCAGCAGCAATGGGCTCAAGTGTAACAATAATGGTGGGATGACCAGGACCAGGAAGCATTTCGTTCTGTTGTGCCTACAGTTACTATGAGTCAGCGCTGACTCAACGACACCTAACAACAACAACTTATTGACATCAATTACAACTATTGGGTGTGCAACACTACCTTTAATCAGCATAGTTTTTCCATCCCCATTTATTCTTCCTGTCCTCCTCCTTCCCACCCCTGCTGTTGTTAAGTGCTGGCAACTTAGTTCCCACTCACAGACTCTGAAAGGTTTGTAAGGCTGTAAATCTTTGCAGAAAGCCTCAAGTTTCTCCTACTGAGCAGCTGTTGGATTTGAACCACTGACCTTGTGGTTCAAGGTATAGTGTTTATCCTACAGAGCCGCCATGCTACCCACCCCCAACTCCTGGATCTTAACAAAGTATGGATAACAGTGCATACAGTAGGAATCTCAGAACTCTTAATTGTGCTCCTGGTGTGTCGCTGTAGGGATAAGCACTGGACTGCGAACCACAAGGTCAGCAGTTCAAACCCACCCGCTGCTCCTGTACAGGGTTGCTATGAGTTGGAACCAACTCGATGGCACTTAATGACAACAGCAACCTGAGGATCTATATATAGCCCACCAGGCAGTTAGTGTAACAGAGTAAGGGAATATTGAATGGTTTAAAATTAGGACAGGTGTAAGCCAGGTATGTATCCTTCCATCATAGTTATTCAGTCTGTCTGCTGAGCAAATAATCCCAGAAGCCGGGTTATATGAAGAAGAATGAGGCATCAGGATTGGAGGAAGAGTGGTTGACAACCCAATATGTAGATGGCACAACCTTGCTTGCTGGAATTGAAGAAGACTTGAAATACTTATCGATAAAGATTCAAGACTACAGCCTTCAGGATGAATTGCACCTCAGAAAAAGACAATGAAATCCTCACAACTGGACCAATAGATAACATCAGGACAAACAGAAAAATAGTGAAGCTGACAAAGACTTCATTTTGCTTGAATTCACAATAAACACTCATGGAAGCATCAGTCAAGAAATCTAACAACGTATTCCGTTAGGCAAATCTACTGACAGAGACCTCTTTTTAGTGTTAAAGAATAAAGATGTCACTTCGAAAACTAAGGTGGGCTTGACCCCAAGCTATGGTATTTCAGTTACCTCATATGCATGAGGAGTCCTGGCGTGGCGCTGTGGGTTAATGCACCAGACTGCAAAGCCCTTTGAACTGCAAGATCAACGGTTCAAGCTCACCAGCGGCTCCTTGGAAACCCTATACAGGGTTGCTATGGGTCGGAACCGACTCGATGGCACTTAACAACAACAACAACATATGCATGTGAGAGTTGGACAGTGAATAAGGAAGACTGTAGAAAAATCAATGCATTTTAATTATGATGTTGATGAAGAATGTTGACAGTACCATGGGCTGCCAGAAAAACAAAAAAAAAATTGGGTTGAAAAAAGCACAGCCAGAATGTTCTTTAGAGATGAGGTTGGCAAGACTTTGTCTTTCATTCTTTGGGCATATTTTCAGAAAGATCCAGCCCTTGGAGAACATCATACTTTGTAAAGTAGAAGGTCAGGTAAAAAGAGGAAGACCTTTCCCTGCCACCACCAACCCCCCGAAGGAGATGGATTGACTCAGTGGCAGCAGCAATGACTCAGACATAACAACAATTGTGAGAGTGTACAGGACGGGGCAGTGTTTTGTTCTGTTGAGCATAGATTCAGTGAGTCAGAACCGACAAGATGGCGCCTAACAACAGCAGATTAAGAAGGACCACTTGTCTGATTCAACCTTACTTCTCGTTGTTACGTGCCGACACATAGGGACCCTGTGTAGGGTTTCTAAGAGCACCTGGTGGGTTTGAACCACCAATCTTGTGGTTAGCAGTCCAGTATTGATCCTCCAGTGCCACACCAGGAGTCCTAAACCTTACTAGGCATGGTTTAATATAACACATCACGTGGACTATGTTATGCCATTTGACCTTCTTGTCCCCTGAGAGGATCGTCCTGAGCCCCACATCCACTGGACTCATTTTCTCAAGATATTTGGTTCTGGCTAAGAAATTTTTACAATGTTGTCCCCTGTATACTCTGTTATATTCATGGATGTATTTGCAGCACATATAAATACATACGTGTTGTTGTTGTTGAGTGCTGTCGAGTCGATCCCCACCCATAGCGACCCTGTAAAGGGTTTCCAAGAAGTGACTGGTGAGTTTGAACCATTCACCTTGCAATTCAAATGACTTTGCAGTCCAGTGCATTAATCCACAGCACCACACCACGACTCCAAATACGTATGTAGAACTATCGTATGTCAAACCTATATATATTTATAGGTGTCATATTTTAAATCTCCATAGATGAACATTTGGGTTGAATTTGTTTTTTTACCAACACAAACAAAAATGGTTTTTGTACATATGGTTGCACACTCGTGTATGTATTTCTGTAGGATAGAGTATAGAGTCAGGTGTAGAATTGCTGGCCTTAAAAAGGAATGCTTTTATTTTTTTGTACATTGTCAGATTTTTAGAAAATGTTTTTGAGGTTTGTTTGTTTTTTTTTTAGAAAAGGTTTCTAGTCTCCCTCCCCCTAGGAACTGACCAGGTGGTCTATATTGTTGCAGTTTTGGGTGCGATCAAGTTGCTTTTGACTTACAGCAACCCTGTGTAGGGTTTCCGAGGAGCAGCTGGTGGGTTTGAATTCTGACCTTGTGGTCCACATTCTTTATTACCAGTGACTAAAGCATTTGCAAGTCCAGTGGGGATGGGCCAGGACAGGGAAGTGGTATCTTGTTTTCATTCTCAATGTTTGGGTTACAGGTGAAGTGGGTGTGGTTTTTTTCTCCATATTTTGTTTCTTCTTTGGTTGTTGTATCGTCAAGATATGTGTGTTTTGCCTGCAGGAGAGCTGTGCCCATGTGAAAATCGGATATTTGGGAAAGTATTCTCGACAGGATAATAAACTCCTGTTGTCCTCAAGTTGATTCTGACGTGTAGTGACCTCGTAGAATGTAGTAGAACTGCTCCATAGGAGTCCTCGTGTGGCACTATGGAATAAAGCACTGCGAGGTCGGCAGTTCAAACTTACCAGCTGCTCCTCAGAAACCCTATACAGGATCTCTGAATTGGAACCAACTCAACAGCACTTAACAACAACAATTTTTATGAAGAGTCCTGATGTGGTGCTGAATTGGATAAGCACTGGTTTGAACTGCAAGTTAATGGTCCAAACCCACCAGCTGCTCCGTGGTAAACATATGCAGAGTCTCTGTGAATCGGAACCAATTGGGCAACACTTAACAACAACAACAATCTTTATGGGAACAGATGGTGGTAGTGGTGGTGGTGGTGGTGGTGTGCCATGCGACCCTGCATAGGGTTTCTGAGGCTGTAAATCTTTACAGAAGCAGAAAGTGTCATCTTTCCGTCACGGAACGACGTAATTTCAAACTGATGACCTTGAGGTTAGCAGCCCGACTCATAACTACTACAGTACCAGAGCTCCTCATGGGAGGAGATTACCAGGTCTATTTCCATGCAGAGCAGGTTGTGGGTTCAAACTGCCAACTTTCAGATAGCAGCTAAGCGCTTATCTGTTGTGCTACCAGTGCTCCTGGGAAGGGGAGTATTTCCTTCTCGTTGATCCTTCTGAAGGAGGCCTGGTGGTGCAGTGTTGAAGCACATAGCTGTTAACTGAAAGGTCGGCGTTCTGAACCCACCAGTGGCTCCATAAACAGTGCAGCTTTGGAACCGCCTGGAACAATTCTTCTCTCTTCTATAGGGTCAAGTGAGTCAAAATGGACTTGACTAAAAGGGGGGAGAAAATTTAACTTCTATTTTTTTTAATTAAAACAAATATTTTTTGTTGTTATTGGTTACCAGGGTATATGGGGTGGAGTCAAGGGGAGGGAGGGAAGGGTGGAGCACAGGGTAGGGAATAGGCAAAGGATAGTTTGGTGCTGGGCGGTGGGGGCTAATACACTAGAAGGGGAAGGGGAAAGGAAATATAAGGCGGATGGGAGACTAGCTAGGCAGGTTTACATGGGCTAAATAGGACAGAGGTAAATAATGATCTAAGCACAAACGTGGAACAACAGGGCTCATGGATACAAAGACTGAGGCATGGTTTGAATGGATAAAAATGGGGATGCATGCAGGGGATTGTGATCATTGCAATGAAACAAAATACGATAGGATGAATGTAAAGATAATGTTCACCCATGCAAACTAACACATAATTGACAATAAAAACTTAAAAATTAAAAAAAAAAATGGACTTGATGTCATTGGGTTTGGGTTTTTGATGCTGTCTGTCTCTCCAGCAGTGGGTAACACCACAGGAAATAACGGGGTGGAAGAGGCTGCACTTTATTGTCCCAGGGGCCTAATACTTTCCTTTGCCTCCTACAGGACACCTGGAAACATGCAATTGAGAAGGCCAAACACATGCCCGACCCTTGGGCTGAGTTCCACCTTGAAGATATCGCCACAGAATGTGCCACGCGTCACAGGTTAGCAGCTGGTCTGGGGGGATTATATGGTACCAGGCACCAAAGAGTCTTTTGAGGCTGTGAGTCTTGCTCCTGTTCACTTCTCTGCCCTGTGTTCTCCACTCAGCAGCTATCGGCTAATCTGTCAGGCCCAAATGCCTTTGGGGGCCAGGAGAAGGGAATAATAAAATCAGTAAGAGCAGTTAGATTTCCCTGTTTATGCATACTAAAGGCACTGGCTGCTACAAACCGCAGAGGGCTGGAAGTGTTTTGTTTTTTTTCTTAACTGTTTTATTGTGAATTATGTGATAGTTTACATGGGAGAACATTGGTTTTACATTCATTGTATCGTATATCGTCTCATTGCCATGGTTAAAATCCCCTCCATGCAATCCTTCCCCCATGCCCCCAGGTCTTCAGCACACAGTCGCTCTCCCTCTCTGGGTCTAGAGTCTCCAGCTGCTCCATAGCTCCACGTCATCATCTCTGGCTCCATTTCAGGCATCACTGCTTCTCTGGGTAGGGTCCCGCTCTCTGCTCTTCTCCCTTGATGGTCCCAGTGGAAGGGTTTTCATGGAGTTTCAGAAAGAAGAATGAAAAACAACAAAAACAGAATATTGCATAATGGATTATGCATTAGGTTGCTAACTGCAAGGCCATTAGTTCAAATCTACCAGCCACTCCGTGGGAGAAAGATGAGGCTTTCCGCTCCAGTAAAGATTTACAGCCTTGGAAACTCCATACAGGGTCACTGAGTCCGAAATGGTTCAACAGCACACCACCACCATTACTGTTACTGCTGTTAAGTGCCGTTGAATCAGTTCCAACTCATAGTGAGCCTGTATACAGTTTCCAAGGAGGGACTAGTGAGTTTGAACCACCAACCTTGTAGTTCAAACCAATCCTGCAGACCAGGGCTTTATCCTACAGTGTCACACCAGGACTTCGCCACTACTGCTTCTAGTAATAATGATGATGATGATTCTAGTCCTTATTTATTCATCAGCGGATAACCAAAAGTTGGAGGTTCAAGTCTACCCAGGAGCACCTTGAAAGAAAAGCCTAGCATTCTACTTAAAAACAAAATCAGCCTTTGAAAACCCTAGGGAGCTTAGCTCCACTGTGACACACATGAACCACCATAAATCAGATTTGACTTCATGACAACTGGTTAAAACACTGTGCCTTAAATGATCTCATGTAACTCTTACACTGGCCCTATCAGGTATGTGTTAGGCAGGGCCAGGCTAAGCTATGCTGCAGTAACAACTCTTCCAGAGACTTAATGCAATAAAGGTGTATTTCTCATTCCTACAGTGTTAGGTGAGAGTTGGGCAGCTCTTTAGGGGAGCTCAGGGAAAGACAGAGGATACTCGCTGCACAACAACTTTTAAATACTGGCCCAGAAAATGGCACAACTTTCATTGGCTAGATCTAGTCACAGGGACTCACCTCATTACAAGGGGGTGAGAAGTGTAGCTTGTCCATTTGCCTGGAAAGGAGAAGTGGGTATGGGTAAGGAAACAGGCTAAGAGAGGTTGTAACTTGATTAAGGACATAGAGCTAGTTGCTATTGGAGCCTGGCTCAGACCCAGGAGAGCTGGACTCCAAGGCCAGCCTCACTAAGAGCATAGCTCCACAGTCTGCACGGCTCAGGGAAGGGCCGCAGTACATGGAGGTTTTGTTCTGAGCTGAGCATAATAAGGAATCCGAGAGAAGAAGGGACATGGGCCCCTTCCTGTTAACCTGGCTTAAAGTCACAGGCAGCTAAAACAAATAAAAGCCATTGCTGTTGAGTTGCTTCAGACTCATAGTGACTACATGTGTGTCAGAACAGAACTGAGCGCCATAGCTTTTCTTTCTTTTTTTTTTTCTTAAATGTTTTATTGTGAATTATGTGATAGTTTACATGGGAGAACATTAGTTTTACATTCATTCTATCGTATATCGTCTCATTGCCGTGGTTCCAATCCCCTCCATGCATCATCAACTAACCAAAGGGTATACACTACAAGCCTGCCCCCTCTCCTCCGGCCATCAGCATAGAGCACCTCTCCCTCTCTGGGTCTAAAGTCTCCAGCTGCTCCATCGCTCCACGTCATCATCTCTGGCTCCATTTCAAGCATCACTGCTTCTCTGGGTAGGGTCCCGCTCTCTGCTCTTCTCCCTTGATGGCCCTAGGGACCTCCGCTCCTAGACAGAAAAGTTAATCACTCCCCTCCTTGCTATAAAACATCTACCTTTACATTTCCGACCCTCACAATCAGTCCTGATAACAATTATTCACTATTGTATCACAAGAGACCCTTCTGCATTTCATTTCATCAGCCCCGCCTAGACAGATTGAATACTACTCACTGGAGATTCTACCTTCCTCCAGGCCCTCTGGTTCCCCCTTGAAAGCTTGTAAACCAGTCACTTCTTGCCTTTGTAGCACCCCCACCCCCACCCCCACGCCATAGCTTTTCAATGGCAAATTTGTAAATGTACTTTGGAGCCCTGTTATTGGGTGCATGCCTACGTATTATGGTTGTGTCCTCTTGGTGAATTGACCCTTTGTTGGGTTTTTTTTGTTTGTTTATCTTTAAGGTTTTTACTGTGGATTGAGTGAAAGTTTACAGGACAGTTCATCGGTTTTACATTCAACAGCTCATACACCTTGTTTCATTACAATGATTATAATCCCCTCCGTGTACCATTAGTTAACAGTATTTCTCTCTATTCACTTTAGCTCTGTTTTTTTTTTAAACACTCAGGCATATATAATAATTTACCCCACCAAAGGGCACATTCTGCAAGTCTGCCTCCTGGCCACCATCTCTTAGTCCCTCTCTTCCCATGAATCTAGTAGCTGCTTCCAATCTCTCCGTGTTTCTATCTCTGCCTCCATCTGTGGTGTCACTGCTTCTCTGGATAACGTCCTGCATTCCGCTTGTGCTTTCCCTTGATGGTGCTAGGGTCCTTTGTTTCTGGACTGTAACATTAACTGCTCCCCTGTTTTTGTTACAAAACTTCTGCCTTTGCAATTGTGACAGTCACAATTAGTCACGATAACAATCACTATTGACTCATGAGAATCTTAACCCCATCTCTTTTAAGCAGACCCATCTAGACAAGGTGAAAACTATTCAGTGGGGACTCTTTCTCCCTCCCCCCCTTTTAAACTGACCGTTTGTGGTTGCTATGTGTCACCAAGTTGATTTCGACCCATAACGTCCCTGTTGTATAGGGTTTCTGAGGAGCAGCTGGTGAACTTGAACTGTCAAGCTTGCTGTTCAAATGACTTTGCACTGGCACATTAACCCACAGCACCACACCAGGACTCTGAATTGACCCTTTAATCATTATTAAATGCCCTTCCTTATTTCATATGATGGGTTTTTACTTGTTGTTGTGAAGTGCTGTCGAGTCGGTTCCGACCCATAGTGATCCTGTGTAGGGTTTCCAAGGAGTAGCTGGTGAGCTTGAACTGCCGACCTTGCAGTTCAAATGACTTTGCAGTCTGGTGCATTAACCCACAGCGCCACACCAGGACTCCAGAGTTTGACTTACAGTCTATTGTATTATTGCCTCTCCTGCTATCCTTTGGTTACTGTTTGCTTGATTTTTTTTTCCATCCTTAGATTTTTAACCTATTTATATCTATATGTGTAAGGTGTATTTCTTGTAGACAAAATACCAATGGGTCTTGCTCTTTATCCATTCTGCCCTGCTGTGTCTTGTAATCATTTGCGTTCACTGTGAATTTCTGCTGCCAACTGAGACTTTTTGAGTGTGTTTATGTAGGGCTAAGTTGGAGTCCTGGTGTGGCGCTGTGGGTTAATGCGCCAGACGGCAAACCTGTTTGAACTGCAAGGTCGGCAGTTAAAGTTCACCAGCAGCTCCTTGGAAACCGCTGTATAGGGTCGCTAGGGGTCCAAGCCGACTTGATGGCACTTCACAACAACAATGCAAGATCCAGACACACAATAACATCATCACACTACCAAACCATGTAAAAAACTCCCAAAAGCAATATAAACTGGAAAACAGGAACTAGTATTATCAATCTGTACATGATGACAATTTCAAAATGAAAAGAAGGAATAAATGGGATAGTTATATATCTTCCATATGGAGAGGAAGCTGAGAGACTATCCACATATAATACAGCGTTTTAAACTTGAGAAGATAAAGGGTAACCACAAAGAAAATGGATAAATCTTGTCACCAAAATAAAGAGGATAAAAATATAAAAGATTCATCATGATGAATGATACAAAAAGAAAGCCCAAAGACAAAAATAACTCAGCACAGAATTTTTAAGAATGCATTGTGGGTTCTTAGTCTGAAGGACTCCTTTTAATATGTCTTGTAAGTTTGGTCTAATTTTTACAGATATCTTTCATTTCTGTTTATCTGTGAATGTCCTAGGCTCGCCATTATATTTGAAAGTCAGTTTTTCAAAACATGATTCTTGATTGCCAATTCTTTTCTTTCAGTCTTTTAAATATGTCTTCAGCATTGGTTTCTGTGGCGAAATCAGCAGTTAGTCTTATTGGTGCCTTCGTGTAGGTGGTATTTTATTTTCGTGAGCTGCTCAAATTCTTTCACTGTCTTTGATTTTGGAAAGTTTGATTACAGTATGTCTTGGTGACTGTCTTTTGGGGCCTATCCTGTATGGGGTTCATTAAGCTTCATGGATGGAGTCTGTCTTAGACTGGGTTCTCTAGAGAAGCAAAATCAGTGATACTTATATATGTAGATATAGAAAGAAAGAGATTGAAATCAAGGAAATGGCTCACACAGTTGTAGAGATGAGCAAGTTCCCAGTCTGTGGGTCAGATGTCCAGCTGGAGGTTTCTTCTGACTCACATAGAAGCAGGGGCTAGTGACCTACAGGTCAGACGGCAGACTCTGGATACAAAGGCAAATGAATCCAAGGTCAGCAAGTAAGTTAGCAGGCTGCTGACAATTCCCAGGATCACAGACCATTGACTCAGGCCCAGACAACCAGAGGTCAGATGCAGGATCCTAACCCAGCAGAAAGCAAGCAAGGCTTGTCTGAGTGTGTAATAGTTTAGAGGCAAGCCATAAGCTCAAGGAAACTATTTTAACGGACTGACTGTTCTAAGCAGATCTTACCATGAAGTGATTCCATTATATTCGATCTCATGGTGGAAGGTGATTACATCTTCACTGCCAAACCTCTGAGAATGCTGGCTCAATCTGGTTGACACAGAACCTTAACTATCACAGAAACCTTCTTGCCTTTCATGATATTAGGGGGGGTTTCTGTCAATAAATCTTCAAAATCTTTATGCTGTTTTTTTCCTTTTCTCTTCTGGAATTCCAATTATGTGTAAATTCTTCTTGAACAGTGCCCCACATTACTCGCAGGCTTCCTTCATCTGCCTCCATTGTTTTATCAGATGGTTCCTCAACAGATTCGTATCAAGAAATTTGACCTCTAATTCACTGACTGTTTCTTTCATTGGTTCAGTTCCGCTCTGTGCCCATTCACTGAGTTACCAAGTTCTGATATTTTATTGTTAATCTTGATTTCTAGTTGTTCTTTTCGTATGGTTTCTATTACCGTCTCTCCCTCAGGGAAATCTGCCCTTTTATGATGTTGGATGAAGGGACTAGGAACTCTTGCTTGTTACTGGGGAGAGGTACAGGTTAGAACCTTGCTTCATATCAGATTTGTCTACACTGGATCTCTGTCTCCTGTTGGTGAAATTGCTTTCCTGTGCTCCTCACCAGGGAATGCTCCTTGTTTTGTCTCAACATGGCACCTACAATTCAGATCTCTTTGCTTACTGTTTCATTAAGTTTCTACTTACATTTTGTGTGTGATCTAATTCTTCATCCTTCTGTTTCCAAGACTGTCATCCGTCTCTGCTTCGCTTGGTTTCTCGTGTCTTGCTGTAGTAGGGGGACAGTGTGGGTTGTCTGGTTTAAGCACCATCTTGTTCCACCCTCCTATCAAAAACAAAAATTTTAAAGGTCAGGCCTAGGAAATTCAAATGCCTCTCTAGGTAGACTCAAACTTTTCAGTTAGCGGCCTAGTGCAGTAGCTGTTTACAGCCCCCGGGAACTCCCACCAGCAGTTAGAGTTGGGATAAAACTGACTAATGATTTTGGTCACAGGCAGTGTCTACCCCACACTGGGCTGAGGGGCAGAGCATGTGTGTTACAGTCTCACCGAGCCAGTGCTGACTGATCGCAACTCCACAGGCCAGGTTAGAGCTCTTCCGTAAGTCTTCCAAGACCTGGTGAGGCACTGTAGGACAAGCACTGGACCGCCATGTCAGTTTGAAATGCGCGGTCGGTGATTCAAACTCCACAGCCATTCCTTGGAAAACTCTATACAGGGTCGCTCTGAGATAGAACCGACTCGACGGCACTTAGCAGCAATAACAGTATTTCCAAGAAGAAGCTTTTGTGGTAT